TTTTTCAAATTAAGTAGTCAAACACAAATTGTTTTACAACAACAACACAGTATAATCCCACTTAGTGGGGTCTGGGGAGGGTAGTGTGTACGCAAACCTTACCCCTACCCTGGGGTAGAGAGGCTGTTTACAAATAGACCATCGGCATCCTTCCCTCCAAGAACTTTCCACCTTACTCTTAAGGAGACTCGAACTCACAACCTCTTGGTTGGAAGTGGAGGTTGCTTAACATCGGAGCAACCCCTCTTGTCTCAAACACAAATTGCTTTACTTGTTTGAAAATGAAAAAACACTTCTCAAAATAAGAAGCTGATTTTAGAAGCTTGGTTAAACAGGCAATAAATAGCAAAAAGAAAGAAAAAAACTTACAGCTAATTCAGATGATAGATTTCTATGTCAAAAAAAATATCCTTAACAAACTTACTGAGCTCCAATAATGAAGAGAACGTAGTGAAAAAAGAGCAAAAATTGCCAACACAATAAGCAATAACAGAATTGAAAAGAAAAAAAAAAGGAGTTTTTGATAAATACTAGAGTGGAGCAAATGGAACCCAAACTTATAATATCTTCAGTCGCAAGGGCAAGGCATGTGAGAATTAGAGCATAAATGATAAATTACTTAAAAAATTAAAATATATTCGTGTTAGAAATGACAAATTAACAAGTAAGAATATTCATAAAGCATGTTTAACAATTGGAAAAACGAGTAAAGGTAGTTGAGAATGAGGTCTTACTTTTAATAAGTTGACTAGAGTATCTTTGTTGGGGCAAGTTTTGTATGCACCCAATTGTTTCCCAATTCGGGAGATTACTCTTATCGCCTCCGTCTCGGTGGAGTCCGCCATTGCGAGGTGAATCAGAAACCCTAAGAAGCTTCCTGAAATTTTTAGAGAGCGATTAGCGAATGGAAGCGCGTGTGAGAGAGGGGTAGAGAGTACTGGAGAGAAAAACTTTTTCCCGCCTTACGCCCTTTATGATGAGCGCTACCCGACAAAACGAAAATTTTCTTTTTTTCTTTCTTTTTAATTTAAATTTTTTCTATTACACTAATACACATTGTTTGATATATAAATATATTCAGTATAATCAATACGGTATTTGATTTAAAGGCAGAGAGACCTCATTCGTCCCATCACATAATTTCCTTTGCTAATATAACTACATAAAGGTCAAAAAAAGATTATTCTTATCGACAAATATTTCATTAAAAGGGCTGAATTTCAACAATAATAAATAAATAATTTTAGTGCAAAATAATTTAATGATAGTAAGGTAAAATCGCAAAGGTAACCGTGATAGGCGCGAGACTATATTATGAATGACGAGCGCATTTTGCCCGTAAATTTTATCCCTTTCTTTCTTTTGCTCATAATGCAAAGATAAAACGACTTGATTTTGAGTTGTATCTTTATTTTGTATTTTTGGTTTCTTTTTAAAAAAGGAACTGCAAATGAGAAGGCAAGTAAAAGGAAGTCTGTTTAAGTTGTATAGTACTGCTAGTAGTCGTACCTGCGCGATGCGCGGTCAATATTAAAAAAATATTAATTAAATTAAATTATGNGAGGTGGTAAGCGGACAGGTCGGGTCGGGTCGGATATAGGCGGGTCGAAATAGGTAACATAAAATGGATGAATTATCTGACTCAGCCCATATTTAATACGGATAGAAAATAGGTTAACCGGCGGATAATATGGGCTTTTTGAATATGATTCTTTTGGGAGAATTTCTAGTCTCCCAAGTTCGACCTCCCAATTTAAGTATTTACAAATGTAAAAACTAAACTCATTAGTTATCAATTAGTTATCTATTTTCTAAGTAGATAATGGAATTTTTATTCATATTTGATTCGTTTTTAAAATGTTCATTATCCAACCCATTTTTTAGTGGATAATATGAATGGATAACTGTTTTTTTTATCGAAAAAGACCTAAAAATGCCTTTCAACTTTCAGAAATTTGCTATTCGTTAAAAATTTGCTATTTCCATGCCACTGTCGTTACAGAAATGGCCCATCCATGCCATTATTGACTAACGGCAGTGGCATGGATGGGCCAAATAAAAATTGAGTCGTTAGTCAATAATGGCATGAATGGGCCAAATGTGTAACAGCGGTAGCATGAAATGAGCATTTTTTAAGAGATTGTTTCCTTCCTATACCATATATGAAACTTTATTACCAAATATGTGCGTAGTTTCTAATTTAGCCGTCATGTTCACTCTTTTTCTACAATTATTATACCATTCATTAAATACTAATTATTAGTAGCTGAATCTTCCTAATTAGGCGCGCTACAAATCAGGAACAGAATATTCTAATTGATTTAGCGACCTTCAGATCAAATTTGAAACGGAAATCCTTTATCTTCAATTTAAAATCAAATTACATAGACTCTTTTCTCCAAAAACTCTATTCTTCGATATTTTTCCTTAAACCACAAATCAAAAAAGATAAAATCGTCAACAAATTCGAATCAAATTGTAGAAATCAGTTCTGCAAAAGCTCAATTCGTCAACTTTTTTCCTCAATCCACTGATTAAAAAAGCGACAAAATATTCAACAAATTCAAGTCAAACTGTAGAAATCAATTCTGCCGATACTTTATTCTTCGTCTTTTTTTCTTAATCCAAAAAATAAATAAATAACGACAAAATATTGAACAATACCTTAGCAACGACACGTAATTATGTCCAAAATCCCAATCATGCTACAATTAAATGGGAATTGAGATAGCTATGGCAGATTTAGAGATTTTCAAGTTGATGGCATTGTGCTCGATGAGGATGCAAGTTACAGTATGTTGATTTCTACAATTGCAGAGCAATTAATGATTGATACTTCAGAAAAAACTATAGAAATCAAATACATTGTGAATGAGAATTGTCCTCCAATGGAGATTAAGAACGATATGGGGGTTCGTGTGTATATGGAGACAAAAAAGGAGAATAAAAATTTAGGATCGTATCTGTTATGTATAAGTGTACGAGATTTCAATATGGAATTGACTATTACCAATGAGAAGACAAGTGCATGTTTGTTATGTTTCAAATTCTATGAAAGTCTGATTTTACGGTAATATTTATAAAATTCCTACATTTATCTACAAATAAATTACACATCAATTTTAGGATGTATAAAGCAATATTATTTTCATGATTATCTACAAAATTACTATATTTATACTACAATTAAACTACAATCTATGTTTCTAAAATGTTGACTAAAAAATTTTTCTCTTCATCTACAAATATACTACAAATCAGTTTAAGTATATATAAAACGGTATTATTTGTAAGGGTATCTATATAATTACTATATTTATGCTATAATTAAACTGCAATCTATGTGGGAAAAAAAGTTGACCACAAAATTTTCTCTCATCTACAATTTATCTACAAAGATTCTAAAATTGTAATGGCATTGTTTATCTTTATTTTCATGCAGGTTCGTCTGAGACAATAAAGTTACTTGATATGTCAGCCTCTCCCGTCATAGAGGAATATCAAAGTGAAATAATAACTGAAGGTACACAAAGTGTTATCGAAGAAAGACAAGTGTATCAAGACAAGCAAACAATTGCAACTGCAATGAAACACTATTCTGTCATGCACAAGTACCAATTCAGGGTTAAAAGATCTAGCCACAAAAGGTTTGAATATATTAATGGTGAAAAGATCATTATAAACAATATTTTCCTTGTGATATGTGTTTTTCAAACATTGTAGATGAAACGTAGTTATATTGTATAGTGTTACTTTATGTTAAAACAGTTCTTTTGTTACATCTACATTGATAACTTGTATTATAAATGTATTTTTTTGTAGCTACTGGCTTATATGCGTTGGAGAAATTGTAATTGGCACTTCAAGGCAACATCAATTAATGATTCTACAATGTTTAAGGTTAGGAGTTTCAACCGACAACACACATGCACCTTAATGGATGATACATTCATACAACGTAAACGTACTGCAATTGTAGTTCGTAGCATGACCATTCCAAAGTATTGTGACCATAAGACAATTTACACACCAAATGACATACAAACTGACATGTTGTCCCAACATGGAGTGAACCTAAGCTACATGCAAGCATGGAGAGCAAAGGAAAAAGCTTTACAGTTTTTGAGAGGTCATCTGGCTGACTCCTACAGCAAATTAACAAAATATTTTTATATTCTTGAGAAGACGTATCTTGGCTCAGTTGTTAAATTGAAGAAGACAGCAGATGAATGCTTCTTATATGTATTTGTTGCTCTTTGTACATCAATAAGTGATTGGGAATATTGTAGACCAGTAGTAGTAGTTGATGGGACATTCTTAAAGTCAGCCTACAAGGGGATTATGCTGACAACAAGCACAATGGATGCAGTAAGTAAAATTGTAGTTATTTTGTAGGCAGTTTATAAATTATAGATACATTATAGATACTTTGTAGATATATTGTAGTTTATATGTATTTGTATTTTCATATGCATTTTCAAAGCTGCCAGTTAATTATTTTTTGACTAATAATGTAGGTACAATATTGCCTTTGGCATATGTTGTGGTTGATTCGGAAAACGACGCATCGTGGAAGTGATTTTTTGAACAATTCAAGCAAGCATATGGTGAAAGAACTTCAATGTGTGTTGTTTCAGATAGGAATGAGAGTATCCTGAAGGCAACATCAATTGTCTATCCGGGCGTGCCACACTACTCTTGCATGTGGCATATTTGGACAAATATAAGGGCAAAGTTCAAGAAGGGTCATCTACAATTAAATGAATTGTACTTTGCTACANTTTATTATGCATTTTTATGGTACTAATATATCGGCTCCTGTTGCTTTTTTGAGCCAAGGGTCTCCTGGAAACAGCCTCTCAACCCTTCGGGGTAGGGGTAAGGTCTGCGTACATATTACCCTCCCCAGACCCCACCTGTGGGATTATACTGGGTCGTTATTGTTGTTGTTGTACTTTGCTACAACACGGTCATACACTCTGGATGAGTTTAATGAAAGGATGTCGAAGATTGAAGAGATAGACCCGCGTGATATTGACTATCATAGATGGTCAAGAGTACATGCAACGGTGAATAGAACTTGGACTATGACATCAAACATTGTAGAGTCGTTGAATGCTGTAACAAAAGATGCAAGAGAGCTGCCAATATTTGACCTATTAGAGTATATGAGGACACTTCTTGAACGTTGGACGAACGAGAAGTTATTGAAGGCAAATGGTACTTTCACATTCCTTGGGTCCAAATTCAACAAAGAATTGGAGAACAACAGAACATTATCTCATAAACTTAGGGTAAGATCTGTTTATTTGGTGCAGAAAAATAATATTTTAATATACAATATTTCTATATTGTAGATAAATTGTAGACAAATTGTAGTTAATTTGTAGATTGTAGATAAATTGTAGATAAGTTGTAGATAATCTATTTTTTATGATTGTAAATATTTTTCTTTCTGTTTGTTATGTAATTGTAGGTGAGTGCTTCAACAGATCATATCCATACTGTGATAGATGGTGTGAAGCGGTATATTGTGTGTCTTGAAAGCAAGAAATGTAGCTGTGGCCAGTTCCAACTTGAAGAACTTCCATGTGTGCATGCTTTGGCAGCTTTAAGGAACGGGAATGAAACTTATGAAAACTATTGCTCTCCGTATTACACAAAGAAGAGCCTACTGCGTACATGTGAAATACCAGTAAATCCCCTTCCTGATGAAAGTAAATGAAATGTGCCACAACATATATTTGATGAAGTAGTAAATCCACTTACGGGAGAGAAAAGGCAGTCAGGAAGACCTCAAAAGGAAAGATACAAAACATATGATGAACTAAAATCGAAGTATAAGGTGTCATGTGGCAACTGTGGAGGTGAAGGGCATAACAAAAGATCTTGCAAGAATGCGTCCAAAAAGAAATAAATATCATGCAGTTAGAATAGTATTTCAAAATAATTGTTAATGTGTTCAAGTTAACAGAATTTTGTGTGTAATCGTTTAAGTTTTTAAAGATCTTAATATAGTTAATTTCAATTTGTTTCTGTGTTTGTTAACATGTTTTTCTGTATTGTGTCAAGCATCTTCCTCCATTTTTGACATTCTGTTCATAGCAGTTACTATTTATTATCTACAATATAACTACAAGTTAAAAAAATTAACTTAACTTGAACTAACAGTTATATACAGAAATTAAATACAACTGGAGGTATTCCCTACAAGTTATATACATATTCAACTATAAAATTATATACAATCTCAACATTCAGTGTTTTCAGATTGTAGATAATTTGAAGTTTTTTAGTAGATAAATTGTATTCTAACAACGTAATAACTACGTTTAAGATAATGAAGAACAAGTGCTGTAAATATTAAACAACTGGAGATAAAACCACCAAGTTATTTTCAAGTGAACTACTACATTGGATAGAAATTAACAAAACAAAAGGTTTGCTATAATAAAAACACAAATGAATTGTTCGGAAAGTTGTGTACTATACTTCTCCTACAAACTAGCATCAACTAAATTACATATACATGACACTGCTTCTTCTTTCTCTGGACTCTTGTTTTCTCATTCAATGCAGGTGCACCCTTCCTCCTTGCCAGTATGCATGTAACCTCACTTTCACTGATTGACCCATCTTCCTGCTTCTTTGTAGCATAGTCCCATAGGAGCGCTTCATAGCGTCTATGATGTTGGTCAATATCAGAAAGGTCTTTTGCGGAAATTGACAAATCTCCAAGGCTAACATACTCCGCAAAGGCAGCAACAAATACACCACAATCGCTGCATAACATAATTTTTTTAAAATATTTACCAAATGATTAGAAATAAAAAAGGAATTAAATGCATAGAAAGAGAGAATAGATTTTTTACAATGACCCTTCTTTTTGATGTGGAATCTCTCCAACGATCCACTGAATGTTAAGAGATTCGGTAACAAGTTTCTCGATGTATGCCTTTGTATTCTTGAAGTTAATGTCTTTACGCTTCCCATAGAAACCAATGCATGACAAATACAAAGGGATAATAACAGAGAACTTTTCGACACAGGATTCAACAACTTGATGGTTGCATGAAGAGACCATGGAATCATACGCATAAAGTTGCATGTCTGCAATGTCGAAAACGACCAACACCCAATGGAATTTTTGTACAATATTTACCGGCATGATGACATAGCCAACTTCATCCATGCAACATTGGCAAGTAGTCTATATCCCAAAATATATTTTGCAACAACATCTTGGGGTTTAACAACCAAATACTTCTTTTGTGGAGGTGAATTTATGAACTTTTCATAAATTTGTTCTATCCTGGTCTTGAACAAACAATCCGTTATGGTAAACCTGGTCTTGTTATTGGGGCCATACTTGCCTCTTTTCCTCAAGTAATACATTAAAACATCAATGTGCTGCAACCAAAAATAGTTGGCATATAAACAACAAGTCAACTTCAAATAATCTACATAAAACTACATTATAACTACAATTTACTACAAAACTGAAACAAAAAATCTACAATGATGTCTAAAAACAGCTCTACAATTTAAACTACAAAGTCAACTTCAAATAATCTAAAAATAAATACAATTTATCTACAATTATTGGGCAATCATGTAATACAACATCTACAATCATGCATACATTATATCTATATTTATACTACAATTAATCTTGTAATGTTCTACATAAACTATAAAATAACTACAATTACACTACAAAAAAGAAATACAGCAACAAACTATTCTATCCACAAAATATATATAGAATTTATACTATAAATAATCATCAAATATGATACATAATCTGAAACCTAAATACAATTACACTAGATACAAGAAAGACAACATTTACAATCATATCTACATAATATCTACAATTTATACTACAAGTCATCTTCATATATTATAGATATCTATAACATAACTACAATTAAACTACAAAACAGAAGACAAAATATCTACAAATCATATCTTGGGAATAGACTCCTTGATACTTACCGAGTCATTGAGGATTTGTCCGGGGTGAGTTAGGAAAAAGAACCATTCCTTCTTATTAATCTTTTCCACTCCAAGGTCTAACCAAGGCTTAATTTGGCTATCTTATATGGAAAACGGAGCCTTCCTCCTGTAACAACAAATAAATATCAAAAAAATTGTAGAATGAATTAGATATGTAAAAGATAAATGTTGAAATGCAAGTGTCAAATTATGCATCCATACCTCTTTGAACCTTTGTCGCTACAGTGGTATAACCACTTGTTGAAGTTATCTAAAACCTCCGGCTATATCTTCATCAATAACAGTAGTAAAAGGGTGCTTGAGGTAGAAAATTTTAAGCCCAACTGAGTTGCTGCCCCCAGAACTGTATAGAGGGATAAATGGTGATCGGGCATGCTTTCCCGGATGCCTTGTTATCCCTGGATGCATAGGTATTGCATCATCTTGTATGGGCTCGCCAAACTTAACCAATTGGTATAAGTTGTCAGGCAACTCAAAATCATCTAGTGTGACCCCTTTCTTCTCAACTCCTGATCCTTCCGAATCACCTAGATCTACATACCGTGCATCTGCACCTTCATTGTCATGTTCCTCAATGACTTGTTCTGTCTGAGCTGCTACTGTCATTCTGTGAATTGGGGACTGTGCATTGATATCTTCCATCACTGTAACACAATTCATATCTTACTTAACAAGAATGTTAAAATTTATAAACAACAAGAAAATATCTATGAATGACAGTATGATACCTGCTTTATCTTTATCAGTTGCAACTTGAAAATGTGTATATAAATCACCATGTGCTAGAAGATTTTCTTTACCAACTGCACCTTCAACATGCTCTGTTTTATAATTAAAATTAGTAAATAATACTGGATAATGGTGGCTTGAGTTGTAGAATATGTGTATCAAAATTGTAGATAATTTTTGGATAAGTGTAGATATGTTGTATATACACTGACACAAATTGTAGATACTTTGTAGGTATTTTGTAGATACCTATTTTGCAGGTGCTGGCCTGCACTTGTTTCCCAATATTGAACTGAAAATGCTGATTGTTCAAGTCTTTTTGTTGGTCATTGTATTTTGTTGAACTGCCAACAAACTGAATGTTTTATGTTAGTTTGTATATATTTTTTCATATGTCTAAATTGTTTTGGTAGAAAAATAAAAGTCAGATCTTACCTTTGCATCATCTTGCACATTTCTACTATTTATCATTTGCAAAATAGTATGCACAGACTCATTTATAAACCCTCAAAGGCTATCGAGTTCTACAAAGACAGCTTTCCTAAAATCTTCAAGCTTTCCATCAACCTACAAGTTACAATATAGTAAGTTGTTAACTTCATAAACATATGCAATTATATATATATATATATATCAGAATTTACAAATTTGTAGATATTTTGTAGTCAGTTTATGAAATGTGGATATATTGTAGATATGCAATTATATATAGATATATATCAGAATTTACAAATTTGTAGATATTTTGTAGTCAGTTTATGAAATGTAGATATTTTGTAGATATATTGTAGTTTATATGTATTATCTGCTCAATTCCTTTTTCTAATTTTCTGATCTTCTTAGCAATAGACTCCTTGTCCTCTTCTCTATCTGTTTGTTTGTGTCCCAACGTAGGAGGATCAGCATTGGGAACCTCAGATGTTTGTTCACCTTCTTGAACTTTGTACTCAATTTTGTCGGGCAAAATCAGCATTGCAATCTCTTCTCCAGATTCACCTATGTTGGTAAACTAAATGAGGAAAAATAAATTAGTTTGATCAAGGCAGAATATGTAGAATAATTGTAGAAATTTTGAAGGTAAATGTATAATCATAAAAAAAGAAACTTTACCTTTATCAACTCAGGCTTTATCATCTTCTCTTCAAAGGTAGCTAACCAAATCTGCCCCTTACTAGCTGACCATCTTAGTATGCGAGATATTGAGTTAGAACACCTCGTAGCTATATCAGTGCTGACAGTAGAGCAACACTCATAAAGCCATACTTGCAATGCTAGTGAGCATCCCCATATGAGATAAGAATGTACATACGGATTTAGTCTGTGCCTAACAGATTCCATCATATGGATGAAAGATTTAATATCCCATGGGTATGACTCATACTGCCTAGATTCTACCAAATAGAACCTAAAGTGATCTACAAAATAAACACGATCTTTGTCCGAATGACAAATGAAAAATTCTAAAAGATAAAGGATGCACAACTTTACCGCATCCTCATCGTTTACCCAGGATCTAGTGGTTACTATCTGTTTCAAATAAGACTTCTCCACTCTTAATTTGTTAGGAAAATAACTGCTCATTATCTTGCTAACATAAGTGGGGGTATAACCAAAATCAGTAACCTGGGTAACACATCTTAGACCAGTAATTAATGCAAATTCACTCAATCCAAAATTTAATGTTTCACCCTTTAACTGCACAGAAAAATATGATGCATTGGATTTGGTCAATTCATACTTCATCAGAAGATGAATGACTTGGTTTTGCATGCATATGGTGGGAAGAGACAGTAAGTATCCAAAACATGTCTTTTTGAAAAGCTTCAACCCATTTGAGGATAGAAGCTCTTTAATATGGCTAGGAATGCCAGGATCATACAAAATGTGGAATCTAAGCACCCCATAATCAACATTATATGGGGCAAAAAAGTGTTCATTCTGCGCAAATAATAAATTATTTCACATTAATAAAATGCA